AAATAAGATGATATAATAAAGAGCAAAATTATTTTTGGTACAATTTTTTTTCCTGAATAATGTGTCCGTGTTGGTTTGTCAGGAAAAGCTAAAGCACTCCTGACACTGGTGTAGCCAGAATGCTTGCCGAGCTCTCTTCTGTTTCTCCAGTGTGCTTGCTTTGATAACACACCCTGGGTCCCAATTTTGGGTTAACTAACAGCTAAAGAGGTCTGGTATCCAAAGAAGTTGGGAATGCACAACCTATTAATCTTTCAATAACTCTAGAAGGTCAGTAAGGCTGGGGTGAGGCATGGGTTACACGAAAGCAAAGATTAATGTCAGCAGGCCACTCCCTGCCAGTCTTCTTGTCTAGAAGGAGATGCATTACTTTTTCCTCCCTCCCTCCCTCCCTCCCTTCTTTCCTTTCTTTTTTAGATAAGCGCTGGTCCTCACGATCCCACCAGAATAAAGCTCCAGGAATGCCTAAACTATACATGCCCTGTATCTACCACAGAACCCACCCTATGGTAGATGCAGAATCAATATTTGTTGACAGAATGAATATATATCTTGTCCATCACATGGCAGGACAATTGCAGTGACATCTGAAATGATAACCATAGGAACAGTGACCTCACTGACTTCGGAGACCTTTAGCCCAGAGCAATCCAAGCTTTTGGGTAAGGTTTAAAAGCCCCAGATCAGGCAGAAGAGCGCTTGGACCAAGCGGAATATGGGTGAACCAAAGATGTGCAGGGAGCAGCCCCAGGGCCTGTGGGAGTGACAGAGGCACAGGAGGGGCAGCACCGGCTGAGCCTATGGGTCCTCAGTGACCCTGCAGGCCCCAAACACCATGTCAGTAGTAGAGTGTTTACAGTCCTCTTTAATTAAAGGTTATTTGACAGCTTGAGAAGGAAAGACAAAAGATGTGCTCTAGCATTTATTTCTAGGGCCTCCAGGGGTACTAAAATCAAAAGAAATGTAGTAACGAGACAGAGAGACACCTGGATCCTTTTACATCTGCCCCCTGACACGGGGTCACACTGGTAAAATTCACTATGGAGACCTCTAACAGAGATAACACTTTATTCTTCCATTCCATTTATTACACCCCACACCTGTGCCCTGCAGCCCAAGAGAAAGACTGGTTCTGACTGCCATAGGCTTGGCTACTCCAGGTTGATTTCCAATCCTTGTCTTCCTTTGAATCCTAAAAATACACTTTTCCAAAGGAGGAGAATTTTCAGCAGGAAAATGTTTCAAGGTGAGTGGAAAGGTAGGTTGGAAGCTGTCAGCTGACACATTATTATAGGAACAAAGGAAGCACAAGGGGAGCCGAGGGAAAGTGACCCAAACAAAAATGAAGGTGACGTAGACAGGAGATGGGGCCGAAACCTAACACTGCAAATTGAAGATTTTAAACTTTTTGCTGTAACTTTCTCATTATGCTCTACTGATAAGAACCTGTGTTAGAGAGCCTAGGTACAGAAGTCAGTGAGGCAGGGATAGACCAACATAGGTCAAGTCTGTAAGTAATGGTTCCCACAAACAGAAAAGCCACACTTAGAGGAGAAGCAGGAGGAGGAGGGCTGATTCTTCTTAAAAAGCAGATGATTTTATTCTAAGAACTGCCCACTGGTATGAGCATCCACATGTCACCAGGAATGACACAGATGTTTTATATTCATTTTCACTACCTTTGATGCGGGTATTATCATGTGCTTAACAGATGACAAAAGTAGGAGGTTAAGTGACTTGCTCAAGGTCACAAAGGAAAGAAGAGGCAAAGTTGAAATTCTAACCTGATCTCTAACTCTTAAGTTTAAGTTTTTCCCACAGTATTGTCTGTAACATGTTTGTTCAGTGATAGAACAGTGACAATATCAGATTTCTCTTCAGGGAACAATTTTCCAAGACTGTATTTTCCCTTTAGCTGTGCCTACTTAGTGATTTGTTTGTAATTGTTGTCCCTTACCATAAAGATCTATGTTCAATTTTGGGAATAAGAAGCCTATTGGAATGATAGGTTTCTTCATGACAACTATATCAAATATAAATTAAAATAAACATAACTTCATAAAAGCCTGGCCAGGTGTTGCTAAGTATTATAATATCACATTCAACATCTGTGAGAATCTTGACAAAAATTACAAATGATATGCCAGGCAAGCTGCTGTTTCTAAATTAATATATCCTGCAAAAAACTTCAAGTCTCAGTGTACTGTAATGAAAGCATATACAAATGTGCACCATGGAGAGAGGGGAGGAGACTGACTAGCTGGAATATGAGTAAAGCAACAGGAAGCAGAATTAGGGAGTAGTCTCTTAAATGATGCCATTCTCCCAGTATCAGGTAACATCAAATTTTACAATTTCTAAGTAGCCCCAATAAAGTTATACAGAATACGTCTCTATTTATCCAGTTAAAGAAAAAACAAGGAATGAGTTTTTCCTTCTTAAAATTTGTAATTAACACAGTGTAAAGGATCACAGGCTTGCCTGCCCTAGCAGAGCAGTACCTCAATAACATCCTGTCTCTCTGGTTACAATGAATAATCCTTTCTGCTGTCTTTTCAACAGAAATTATTCATGTGTTATTGGCATGGGGGGGGGGGAGAGAGAGAGAGAGAGAGAGAGAGAGAGAGAGAGAGAGAGAGAGGCTGAACAAGCTTTCAGCCATTTATTTAAATTTTATAATCAAATAGCAATTATATTACAGTGTCACAAACTCTAGACCTTTTTCCTTCATACTCAATTGTGCCCCAACATTTTGAAAAACATAACCAAAAAATGCACAAGGACTTTCACCACAAACCCTTTGAATGCCTAAAACCTCAGGAAAGAAGGAAGAGACAACGTGGGACAAAAGTTGGAAAGACTGAGGTATGAGAAAAATCATAATAGATTTCTTGTCACCATGGGGGTAAGTCCCCAAAGTGTTCATTTTTGGTTCCTCTCCCTGATCTCAACTTTGGCTGACATTAACATCACTAAGGCAGGCTTTACAAAACTGTTGCCTGGGCCCCTACCTCCTAGATACTCTGATTCTTGAGTAAAGCTCAGACATGGGCCAGCTTTCGAAATTGCCCAAGTGACTCTAATGTACAGAAAGGGTTGAGAACCACTGACCTAAATAATTCAAAGATATAAATAAATGTAAAGTATGAGGTTTTAACATAGTTTAAACTCACCAGAAGAAATACAAACATCTCAAGACACCAGAACATAAGACCATCATTAACAATAAACAGTAACAACAACAAGACAAAAACCTCTTTCAAGACCTACAAAAGGAAAGGCAATAGAAAAATTTTATGTGACTCTCTTCTCCATCCCCCTTCTGTAGGAAAGCAACATTTATCAGTAGAATATACTGTGCTAATTCATTAAACTGAATGCCTGATACATACAGGGGCATGAAGTCAAACATTAATCCCCCATTTTACAAAAAAGGAAACTGAGCCTCTTAGATGTGAAGGCCAAAACAAAAACCCAAAAGACAGAACTTGAATCGTGATCTGTCTCTGGTGCAAAGATATTTCTCCTCTCCTTATCTTCTGGAACATTTCTTTGCGTTAGCTAACTTAACAGGTGCTGGAACAGAGTGTAATTTCAGGAACATTTTCTGCTGGAGGACCTCAAAGGAGTCTTTCTAAGGAGCTTACTCCATAGCTGTCTGGGCTATTAGCAATCTGACACTGGCAGTGAATAGGTAAACAGAAGAAATATAAAATTAAGTTGGAGGGGCAGAGAGAGGAACAGTGGGAAAGGACCTTGAATGACAAGTAAAGAGTTTGGAATGAATGACTGTGTTAATTAACAAATCTACAGGTACTAAGTTATGTCTTGTATTTGGAAAAGAAAATCCTCTAACACCTAGAAAATAAGGAGATATTGGAGGCTTCAGAGTTACTATATCTAAATGGTAATCCAATAAGCCAAACCAGAAAACTAACTACAAGAAAAACATACCAAAACATTCCTTTTGCATGGCATGGTTAAGAAAAAAACAACAACCCAGAAATATTATGGATAAATTTGTGTAAGACACATTTACCATTCTCAAAAAATTAACTCTTAAAAGATATCAGGGTTGTTTTTAAGCCAAATCTTTTTAATGTTTTTTTTTAAATTACAGCTTTAATAGATTTTTTCCAAAGGATGAATTTAGTAGCTGATAAAATACAACCCTCCTACTCAGGGCAGATGGTCAACATAACATCCTAGGACTGGAGTCATAGTTAATAATAAAAACAACAGATTATTAGTTTCCCTCAAGGTAAAAGGCATTTTCTCAAACATAAATGAACAAATTAAAATATCAGAAAAGAGAAAAGGAAACCATTTAAGTCTCCAGAAAGCCAAATATCTGGCTAAAACGCTACATTTAAATTAAATACACAAATTAATAAGAAAAATATAAACATAAATAAAAAAGGAAATAATAGGTTATTCTTCTTTATTTCATACCTGTCATGTTTCTATAAAACATGTTTTTTCTCTACCTTAAAAGGATATTGAAAATTGAGATAATTTAAAATGTTGCATACAAAAGTATACCCTTTCCTTTATATCTGAACATCATGTTTCCAATGTTTTAAAAAATTTAAAGCATTAAGAAGTTTGTCATTTGGAATATCAGCGGGAATACGTTTGATGTGACATTAAATTAAGCATATCAACTCAATGTAATAATTTTTGGTTATATTTATTTATAGCAAATATTTAATTATCTTGATATTTATTTTCATTGTTTAGATCTTTTAGCCCCACTCTTTAATCCCATGTGAGTATGTGTGCACATGTGTGTGTGATTGCATGTGGCAATAAACTAATATAAAGGTACATAACTCTGGTTTAGTCTCATTATTTCTTAATTTTTTTTTTTGGTATGATCGGAGTTAGCCGCAAATAAAGATATAAAGTCTTTATGAGATATTGATTTCTTTTTAAAACCTTTCCAAAATTTTGTAACTTTTTATTCTTAAAAAGGATTAGAACAATGGCTCATTACATACCATAATCTGTGATTTTACAGGACACCAAATACAGCTCTTTCAGGTTTTGTCCTTCCTTTGCAATGACCTCCACACACCTGAAACACACAAAAAAGTGGTGAGTTACACTAATGCATTTCAAGTTAAATTAGCAAGAGTTTGGCCAAGACTATAACAAGAAGAGGTCAGCATTTGATGAATGCCACAGCTCTCTTCTTTCAACAAGCCCCTTTCAAGGTGCTTCAGGAAAAGGTATTATATTCCTGCTTTAAACTCAAGTGCTCTAATACCTAAATGACTTTAATTAAATACACTTATGACTAGTGTATCTTTAAAAACCAAAGTGATGAAAAAAGAGATACTCCTATAAGAGTGATGTTACATTTGGTAATAAAGGACTAGTAAACATGCTATATAATGAACATGTCATTTATATAATAATATATAAAACTGATTATAACAACTCTGTAGAGTATAGATAGATGGTCATTATAGGTGGATGGTAATATTGCTTATGGCTCAATTATTAATATGAGGTTTGATAACACTGGAAGTTTTTTTTTGTGAAATTCTATTTAACATAAAAATTTGCTTTAAAAGTCTGTAACATTGAGTACAGAAAGAAAAATCTGGACAACTAAGAACTTTAAAATCTTTTAATTTAAAATGGGTTGTTCTTAATATTTTAAATAAATTATTGCCTACATACAGGCCATTTAAATAACATCAGTATAGATATGCAAGATCTATAGTCTTTTCTGGTTTCAGTTAAAAGGTTTTCAAATGGTGCATTCTGCTCTAATAGCCTTAGTCGAACATGTAGTACAGAATTGAATGAACTTTAAAAATAATGATTAACAACACTGTTTTGTAGCTCAGTTCCCTATAATATCAGAAAAACCTGTACAGTCACAGTGACACATAGGCACATGCATCCTTCAGTGCAGTCCCTGTTTTAATCTTTATAAATAACAGTTAAGTAAAAGGGTAAAAGCAAAAAGAGTCATTAACCTTTTCTAGGAAGTAAGGATCAAGTAATTTGATACCTATGTGTATAATCCATCAAAAAATAACTGAGTATCCATCTCTGTCCTTCAGATATTTTATTTGCTGTCTGGCTTATTTGTAGGTATCTTCATAAAATGTCAGGAAATTTTATACAATTTTACTTCACATAATTCACTATTGAAGGTTACATTAGTTATAGGAAAGGCATATTTTCTTTAAAATGTATTTTTATAAAATATTGTTTTAATGTAATGACAAACATTTCAAAGTTACTCAGAATAACTGAATAAAGGTTCTCTTGTATATTTAAAAAATTATGATAAAAATTGATAAGGACTTTCATAGCTACAAAAGAAAACTTAAAACATTGACAGAATGCAATTATGATTGATACAGTTTATTATGAAATTTAAAAATCTAATTCCATGTCATTTGGCCTTAACATAACATTTGAATAAACTGAGAAAAAAGGAAGGATAAAAGCAAAAATGAAACATCACCTGCAACCATCATATTGTATTACAACCTTAAAAACTAATTTTCACATGCTAAGAATAAAAATGAAGGCCTCAGGTGATTACAAAATCTTTAGTAGTTGAAAGAAAAGTCTGACTACCTTCTAACATATCAAAGATTCATATCTCACTGTCTGCCATCACCTACCAAAAAATGGTAGCAGAACCAATATTCTGTATGACCACTACAAACTGAAATAAACTAGTGCAGAAATAATCTTCATATCATTTATTTTGTTCTCATGCTCTTTTCAAATATTTCAAAATGCAAGATTTTATATTTATTATGAAAAAAGCTCAAAACAAATGTAATACCCTATTTATATTCCTGCCACTTGATATTATATTAAATACGCTACAAGCACCTATGAACATTAAAGACACACAGGGCAGATTACAAACAGCAAATAACATATATCGATTTTACTGCACAAGCCTGACCAAATGCTATTTCACAGACAACAGGAAATGGTATTCATATGAAACAAGATAATCAATCACTGGATGAAAACTGTCCTAAACCTGATGAAAGGCCATGAGCATCAGGTTTCCTCCCAACACAACAGAGAAAAGTTACTATGGATAGATACTGCAAATATACTTTGCTTACTCAAGAGGCAGTAACTGAGAGAGAACACATGATTAAAAGTAAACAGAAAGTATCTTTTAGACAAAAAAGAAAACTGTAAGATACTTTGCTTTTACAAAAGATCACCTAAGACTTCTGCCCTGTTTTCAAAAGTTCAATTACAGTTTTACAAATATCTTTAATTACATTATGCTAGGAGTCACGTACAACATAGAACTCTTCAAATAAGAATTTTTGAAGAAAAAACCTATTAGAAGGTTTGTAGCAAAATTTAATTTTTTCAACTTAAATATCATGTCACATACTGATCCTGGAATTTGAGAAAAGAAACCCCGTGTTCTGTGAATCTGGATTGAAACCATTCATTTAATATTGAAACAAAATTGAGTGTTTAAAATTAATAGTTAAAATAGCTATTATTTTGAGAGTTGAAAATGGAACGAGTTTGTATTATCCTGCTACTACAAATTGGTGGAAAAGGAACCCTGAAGCAGGTCTCTGGCCAGCATCTAAAGCTCTGTGATTAGTCTAGGTGTAGTGTCCCCTTCAACCCATGCTGATAACTGGTCATAATGACAGGACACGGGTGGTGGCTCTCCTTTTCTCCTAAGCATTTAGAATCCATTCTAAAATATTCTTACAGATGCACCCTAACATAACGCATGTTTGTGGACCACATTTATTCTAATTAATTCTACTCTGTATTAAAAGAATCCTGACTCTAGTCATGACCTGTAGTGTATTAACAACAGAATTTCCCAGCTCACTGTACATATTGTATGCAAGCAACAAACCAGGTGGTAAAGCTTAATAATTATTTAAACCAAAGCTTAACAATCATTTAAACTTAAAATTATTTAAACTACAGGTGTTTGTCTAAGTTTTTAAGGGGTGTTTTAAAAATGGTAGCAATTAGAGAAATGTTTACAAAGTGCTAATCTATAAGTAAGAAGGAGAGTGACAGAACCAAAGACCACATTTAAAACATTTGCTTGTCCATCCCCTCTCCTATTCACATCTATGACATAGTAGAATATGCATTAGTCTCAGTGATAAATTATAGTTTTGTCCACAGGGGCAAGCAATGAGTCCCTAAATTCATAATCCAGAATTCAAATGTTTCCCATTCTTCCCCTCCCCCCTCTCCACACCAGCCCTAAGAGCACACCTCAGAATACCATGTGACTGACATTCCCTATGGGTCAGTACATTTAAAGAGTTCCCATTTCACGCATGACAACCTGAGGAGTTATAAAATTGGGGAAAAGAATGATATCCTTAGGGAGAATAATAGTCTATATGATTTTTACAGAGAAATTCATAATGGAGAAAAATGGCAGTACTTCCAGTCAAGATGGCAGCATAGGCAGACATGGCTCACCTCTTCACAGAACCACATCAAAATTACAACTAAAATATAGAACAACCATCACTCAGAACCATCAGAAACAGAGTTGACCGGAAGTCTGACAACTATGGAATTAAAGAAATCACAGCCATCCAGGGTGGTAGGAGGGGCGCAGACACAGAATGGGCTGGTCCTACAACCACGTGTGGTGGATAAAAATTTGGGAGGGATATCTCAGGAGCCAGGAGTCCCAGCCCTATACCAGGTCCCCCAGCCCAGGGTTCCAGTGCCAGAAAGATAAGTCCCCACAACTTCTGGCTGCAAAAACCAGCAGGGATTGAGTCAGTGGAAGAAACTCCTGGAGCCCCAAGCAGTTCCTCTTAAAGAACCCACACAAGGACTCACCTAATCAGACTCTCCCTCTGAGCTCCATCACTGAGGTACCAGCTTGAAAGGCACCAAAAGAATACAGGGAGGAACTGAAGTGTCTGGCATTAAGGGGAGAAGAGGCCACTTCTTTTCTAAACCCTCCCCCAACAGAGCCAGCAAGCTGGTGCTGTATCTGACTCCATCAACCTGGCTAACACTGTTTGACTCATCATGGAGATCCTCAGAGACTCTGTCCCAGAGACCCAACTAAAGGGCCTACCCAAGCTGCTTTTCCATATAAATGGCTGATCTTGACTCATGCTGCACAACCTCCTAAATTTTCTCATACAAGCAACAGCTGGCCTCAGTTGTTGCCCCCAGGCTCACTAGCAGCAGCCAGCTTAGATTCACTGCTTGGCTTTGCCTGGGAATCTCCAAGTAGTACAAGTAGCAGTCATCTCAGATTTCTTTATAGCTCATGCAGGGTGGCCCTGGGCAAAACACAGGTAGGGAATGACCTTGGCCTTCACCACCTGGGAAACCCCAGGGCCAGCGCACCCAGTGGACAGCTACAGACCACACTGGAGCACCACCACTCTGCCCTGCATAGCTGATCCTCCACGGTGGGTGGAGGTTGGTGGTAAGTGGTCACAGCCAATCTTTGCAGCGACTGTCCTGGGTAAATCCATCCCATTGATGTGCTAACAGCAACCAAGGCTTAACTACAAGAGGAGGGTGTATTCAGCTCACACAAAGGGTGCACCTCAAGTACCTAGCTAGGGTGATAGTGAAGGCTGTGCCACTGGACCCTATAGGACAACCACTACATTAGGCCACACTTTTAAGACACGAAGTCAAAGTAGCTCTACCTAATACATAGAAACAAACACAGAGAGGTTGCCAAAATCAGGAGACAAAGAAACAACCCAAATGAAAGAACAGATAAAAACTCCAGAAAAAGAACTAAATGAAATGGAGATAAGCAATCTATCAGATGTAGAGTTCAAAGGATGTTAAAAGGATGTAGAGTTCAAAACACTGGTTAAAAGGACCTCAGCACCATAAAAAAGATCCAGTCAGAAATGAAGGGTACACTAATTAAAATAAAGAACAATTTACAGGTAAACGATAGAGTGGATGAAGCCAAGAATCAAATCAAGAATTTGGAAGATAAGGAAGCAAAAAACAACCAATCAGAAAACAAGAAGGAAAAAGAACCCCCTAAAATGGGGATAGTATAAGCAGCCTCTGGGACAACTTCAATAGGTC